GGGAGGGGGGAGCGGGGAGGGAGGGGAAAAATGAGGACCTAATGTCGGGGGTTTAAATGGAGAGAAAATGTTTTGAGAATGTACAAATGCGCTTTATGCAATTGATGTGTATATGGATTGGGATAACAGTTGTATGAGCCCCTAATAAAATGTTAAAATAAAAAAAATTTAAAAAGAAGAAGATCTGGCAGTGCAGTTGGTTCAGCATTAGGCTGATAACCACAAGGTTGGCAGTTCAAATCCACTGGCCACTCTGTAGGAGGAAAACAGGGCTTCTCCCACCGAGATGTACAGCCATGGAAACTCTATGGAACAGATCTACTCTGTCCCATAGGGTCCTTTAGGGTTGGAATAAACTCAATGGCACAGGTGGGTGGGTGGGCATGGGCATTTGATCCTACCTACTGAGGTTCCCAAAATCAACTCCCAGGCCTTGCTAGCAAGGCCTCCTGGTCTCCACTCTGAAGGCCATTCCAGCCTGTTGTTCCAAGAACACCATCCATCACACTGGTCACTCCACAGAGAAGGGCGGAGGGGTTGTAAGTGAATGCCCAGGGGCACTAGACTGGTTATAGAAAAAGTAGAGAGGAAAACCCTCCTCTCCTGACCCCTGATGCCCTGCTCCTTCCTCTGCCCTGAGCATACACTTCTGCAACACCTTTCGTGTCTAAGACTAACCAGATTCCAGACATCAGTGTTTATATAGCACGTCCCATCACCAGATCGCAGATGAAAAACCCCAGCGTTCTCGCAGCAGTCCCAACGCCAGGGCAGGAAGCAAAGGGAAGTCAAGCAGCCTCTGCCCACGAAGAAACAAAGGCAGTCTGTGTCTTCCGCTCATCGGGCCCTTAGGGACAGGTCATTGAAAGGGCCCTGCACGTGAACACGTCTCCAAACCTCCAGGAATTTGCAGTCCAAGCCGCTCTGTGCACCTCTGGTGGGTGGGTGCCAGGCTTCCAGCGGCTTGACCTGGGGTTCAGGCTCTGGTGCTGGAATGCTCAGATTTGGAGCAAAAATACTGCATAGCTAGAAAGGGAATCGGTACCACCCAGCCTCTAACCCACCATAATCCCCTTGGGGCTCAGCCCCATTCCCTCTCTGCTTTCAGCTGCTCTTAGTCCCAAAAGCAGAACAAAAAGGCACCATTGGAGAGGGAGAAGACACAGGCTGTGGGCCGAGTTTTACCTGCTGGCCCAGGAAATTGTCATTGAATGCCAGCGACGAGTGTCCAACTCATAGCGACCCCATGGGACACAGCAGAGCCGGCCTTTAGGAAACCACCACCCGGTCCTTTCTCACATAGAGCAGATAGTGAGTTCGAACTGCTGACCTTTCTGCCTAGAATTTAACTGCTCTACCACCCGGTTCCCATGAGGAAAACTTGGAGAACTCTAGTTAGAAAAGGGTAGAAACATATTTACGACATCACTTGTATCCAAAAATAATCATAATAAATAAAACTTGACAAGTGTACCATGTAAAGCCAAGGCACTGAGATTTCATCCCTCATGGTGGCTCAGGAACCTTGGGGGAAAGAGCCCAGGAGGGGAGGTGGCCACCTGCAGACGTGCTGACGGCCTTAACACTGGCCTCCTTGGTGCCCCCCAGGGCCTTGAGATCTCATTAGGAAGTGGGTTTTGCCAGTGGGCATCGTCCATTGTTTCCCCCTCTCTCTCTTAATCCCATCTCTAGAGTTGTATTTGAGTATGGGCTTTATTACCGTATAACCCAGTTAATAGCAAATATAATCCTTTTTAAAAAAAGCAGTCTTCAGCCAAACCACAGGAAGCAAGCGGGATGCTTATAAAAAGAATATTGTTTTTAATATAGTTGAAATGGTTTAAAGGAGCGGGAGAAAACTTGTCCTTGACTTTTTTTTTCCCCCTTGAATGATTATGGTCTAACCTGCATCTGCGTAAGCTGAACTTCCCCTGTCTTGCTAACTAGTGTGGGCCTTGGCGGTCAGCACATGCAGGAAATGGGCCCAGAATGTGGGCACATTGGGCTACCCTTTCCCCACTTCTATGGGATTCCCTGGAGCTCTGGACCTGGGTCTCCATTTCCCCAATGCACAGGTTACCCCAGTCGCCAAGAGAGGGAGCTTCTCACACTCATGGGTTGGTCTTTGCCAGTGTTCCTGGGAGCTGGCACAGATTTCCTGCCATCCACATAGACCAAAGTTGAACTTGGTGCTTCTTCCAACTGCGCCTGGATATCTAAAACGTGCTCAAGAAACACGGACTGAGCATCTCCCCTGTGTCAGAGGCTGTGAGGAGGGATGGAGAGAAGACCGGGTGCAGCCCCCACCCCCAGTGGCTCTCCTCCCAGCTCCCTCTGCACCCTCGGTGATCCCAGTCACTGCGCGTCCTGCCTCTTCCGTAGTTGCTGGTTTGGGAAAGAACCTGGAGCAGGGATGTGTCTTTCTCAACGTGCGTCCCGTCCCCGCGAGGCGCTGAGGGAAAGTTGGCTGCAGAAGGAATTGTGTTTCTCTTAGCCACGTCTTGACCCTGCAGGGAATCGTGGAGAGGCTGCGTCAGGGCTGCGCCTGCCCCGACGCCATTCACCATTCACGCCGCTCATGTTTCTTCCCCAGTGAGAATGACGCGTCCTCGGAGAATGAGCAGCTGCTGAGCCGGAGCATGGACAGTGACGAAGAGCCCGCCGTCGACAAGCAGGGCTCCCCAGAGCTGTGCTTGCTATCGCTCGTTCACTTGACACGGGAGAAGTCTTCCCCCAGCAACAAATCAACCGGGGTGAGGCTCTGGCACGCACCCCCCATTCTTCTACTAATGCTCACAATGTATTGGCGCAGTAAAATAATGCACTGCATCTCCAGGAGGGATTTGTCTGATTTATGGCCCAGAGACAAGGCATTTCTTAGTTAATAAGCTCTTCTGCGAGACAAGATGCTTCTCCACCAGGGCTGTGATCTGAAGCCTGCATAGAGCGACAGGTTGAAGATGAGATAGTCTTTCGCCAGATAGGGACGTCTTTATTTCTCCTTATTAATAAGGCAGCATTATGGAAGAAAATGAGAAATAGCAATAAACAAAAGGAAGAAAATTGCAATCGCTTAGAATGCCACGGGGACAGGAAGAGCCTTTGTAAATATATTGCTTCCGTCTAATCAGGCAATTTTCTACACACACACACACCTATGGATTTGTGTGTCACACATTGGATGTCACCTATGTATGCTCATATATGAGGTGGTTTCAAAAGTTTGTGGAGAAAAAAATCCATTATCTTGTCATTTCACTTTTCCATGAACTTTCTAAAGCCCCATTTTATACGTGTGTACATATGGATGGATATATATATGTGTGGTGATATATATATAGGTGATATATATGTGTGTGGCATATGTGATATCTATGATAGTATATCTAAGGTGACCAGATTTTAACATTGGTAAAGTGGGACACCATTGATAAAACTCATATCCTGGAGAAATAGCCACATGGCAGCCAAAAACCGTATACCCTACCTTGTCGTGAATTCTTTCCAAAAATCAGGACTTTTTAAAAATGTTGCGGGACGTGGGACAAATTGTTAAAAATCAGGACTGTCCTGCCAAAAGCGGGACGTCTGGTCACCTTAATTATATCTATCCATGCATACGCACATGTATGTGTATGTGCACACATGTATATACATGTATTTTTTATATAAAAAACACGTTCACATATAAAAATTGGCCACATTGTTTTATTCCCTAAGGTGGGCACTCTTGAAATGTTCTGGCCCAGGTATGGTGGGAAAAAGGTGAACAAGGCCCTTTTCCGAGCTACATTTGGTTAACTGTGTAGTTCTGTTGCTCTGGTAACCTCATGAAAGTTGGCATGTCAACTATGTTGCTAGGCAACATTGTTCATGATAAACATGGCCTCTGATTGGTAGACTAGATCTGGCCAGGGATCCTGCTGAGAATGCTAATACTTTGGGCATCCCTGAAAGCAGTGGCTTTGTAACGAGAGCTGTCACCTGCAGCCTATGCTGTTGCTGAGAGATAATAGCTCCTATGGTGCATGGGACCTGTAAGCCAGAGCCATTTCCGCACCTGTCTTCTATGGCCTGGCCTCCTTGCACCAAGCTCTAACCTGGGGGGAAGAGCACTCCCACACGGCTGTCTGGGCTACTGCATGAGCTGCTATTAGGACTCCATGCTGCCTTGCTGGTAAGCTGAGCTCCCAGTAGCATTAAAACAAAACCAAAAAAAGACTGCCATCAAGGCGATTGTAGAATGCCTGAGACTGTAGATCTTTATGGGAGCAGAGAGCCTCATCTTTCTCCTGCAAAGGGACTGGTAGGTTTGAACCACTGACTTTGTGGTTAGCAGTCTAATGCTTACCCAGCAGCGCCACCAGAACTCCCAATTGACCTCTTTCTAAAGAGACGGATGCCTGTTGTGGCCTCTCTCTCATTGTCTAATGTTGAGCCTAAGGAGACAGACCTTCTGGCAAGCATTGAAGGTGTTTATTAACTAACCCAAAGAGAAGACTTTCTCCCTGTGCATTAAGGCTTCATTCCCAGGACGCGGTCTGTTTCTGGTTCAACATTTTCTAAGCATACTGAGCATTTGGGTCAATTCTAGGCATCTGTCAAAACTGAGATGGGGTGTTTAATTCTCTGTTACCAATGTTTTCCCTCTCGTGAAGATTAACATTCTCTGAACATTCTTTTCTGTAGATTCAGAGTCGGAGAAAAAAGATATTGGATGTGTACGCCAATGTGTGTGGTGTGGCAGAAGGTGAGCCTGGGAGAGCCATTGCGGGAGGCGTTGCCTTGGGCTGTTATCCAACAAGAGCAGGGAGAGTCTAATACGCCCCCGCCCTGCTGCCCCCCGGGGAAACGAGGGACCCACAGAAGAGGGTGTTGTTTCTGGGAATAGAACTGAGGGCAGACTGGTCATGCTCCTCCCCGGGAAGGCTGTCTTCACACCTCCAGCAGCAAAGGAACCCTGAATGAAGCTCTCGGTTATTTTAACATATTTCCCAGCATTCCCCACCAGAGAGGTACTTGAAGTCAGAGTTCCCAGGTACACTAGAGATTGAGATGTGAAAGGAACCCCAGGTACCTCTAATGCCACCCCCAAAACCCCTTCGCAGGCGTCCAGCTCTCTGCATTGGCATTAGCACCTTTGGAATGAGTTGTTCATCACTAACTTGTCACATCAGTCCTCTCCACTCACAATGACCTTACAGGACCACGGAGAGCTGCTCCATAGGGTCCCCGAGACTGCACATCTTCCCGTGAGCAGACAGCCTCACCTTTCTCCAGCTGAAGAGGATGGTGGGTTTGAACAGCCGGCTTCCCAGCCGGCAGCCCAGTGCCTAGACCACAGCACCACCAGGGCTCCCTCTAGCTGTTTAAAATACATGGTGGCCTCGTAGAACCTCTCACCTCCTTCCTCAGAGACTCCAGCCTAAACCAACAAAGCTGAGTTTTGTTTCGTGGTTACAATTTTGGAATAGGCAGTCACCAGGCAACAGGACTAGGGGAAGTCAAGATTTCAACATGCATTTCTCAGACAGATTGGAAAGAAACGCGTGTCGCTAAGATCTTCAAACCCCAGTACCGAGCTGTGCTACAAAATGCCTCCCCAGAGCACAGAACTCCTGAGCTTTGTGAGTGGGGGAGGTGTCTCCTTCTCTGGGTGGATCCTTATCCGTGATGAGGGTCCGGCAAATTGCTGGCTGGTGCAAGCCAAACCCAGCCAAACCAGAATGTGGGTATTGGAGTCCAGTCAGCCAGGGTTTGAATCCCTGATTCCTCCTACCATTTATATGACTGGGAGGTTTTCTTAAGCTCTGCCTCGGTGGATCGCACCCGAGCTGGTGGGCAGGAATCGCTGCCAACGCAGGGCACAGGCACAAGCACATGAGAGCCGTGGGCAGATCAGGGTCAGAGCCTGCCAGGGAGGCACCATGGGAGTCTGGCAGCGCTTCCTGATGCCTGCCAGTGCTGCCTACAACATGCCCAAGGGTTGTGGTCGCTCTGGCCACAGCTGCCCCAGGCCCTGTCCCTGCTGGTTTGAGCTGAGCTCTTGTTTACAGAAAGATCCCCACTTGTCACTGAGACTGGAGGACGCCCTCCGGGCTGGTCTTTTCAGGCCCCCCTGGCCCTGAGCAGGACATACTTTCCCCTGCTTGGACCAGGCAGCAGGAGGGGGGCCACTCCGCCCATTCCCTCAATGTGAACTGTGTGCCAGCAGGCTGTGCCCTCGCACAGTCTTACTGGTTGGCTGCTCTGTGGGCCAAGAGTAACTACTGCATTCCAGGGGCCCGCGAACTTACTGGACTACCTGTGGAAACGTGGCGTCTCTCCCACAATATACTTGGCTCTGCGTCAGCCTGCCCGGTCCAGTCTTAAAAACAACTCTGCTTGCCCAGTCCCCGACCTACCCCTGACGACTGAGTTAAGCCCTTTCCCCCTCCTTTGGCTTTGGATTTCATATTGAAACTATGTTTTCCGTAAATGGAAAGAATTTTAAATGAGTTAAAAAAAAATGTTTTTCTGAGGTAATGGGAATTTTATACAGTGAGTGGGACACATGTCCTGAGGGGGTCTCTGAACTTGGGGTGGGGGAGATGAAGCGTGCGCGCGTGTGATTCATAGTTATACAGCCCACCCACCCCCTGCCAACACACACGCACACAAGGTGGCATTACATACTAAATATGGGCTAGCAAGTTCCCACTAAACGCCCGCAAAACCAAACCAAATGCACTGCCATCGAATCCATGCTGACTTACAGAGAGCCCATACGACAGGGAAGAACTGGTCCAGTGTGTTTCCAAGACTGTAACTCTGTCCAATAGTAGAAAGCCCTGTCTTTCTCCTGAGGAGTCGTGGGTGAATTTGAACTGCTGACCTTGTGGTTAGCAACCCACTGAGGAGCTGTTACACCACCAGAAAATATAGGTGGTCACTATAGGGACAGCGAGTCACAAACAAGTTAGTAGTCTGAGGTGAGGTCCAGGTAGCAATACATTTTTTTAATTAAATTTTTTATTTTAAGATGAAGTGGTCTGAGATACACTGATACTGTGTATCCTTTATCTAGTTTTCCTCAAAGGGAACATCTTAAAACCTATCCTACTACATCGCTTCCATGAGACAGACATGGATGCATGAAGACACAGAGCATCCCCGTACTGCAAGGATTCCCTATGTTGCCCTTTCAGAGCCAGACACGCTTCTCTCTCTGCAATTTTATTGTTTCAAGAATGTCATTTAAAGAGAATCCTGAATTAACAAAGTACTTTTAATCAACATGTTCCAACAAATAGCAAGTCACAAAACAAAACTGCACGTCCACCCCCTCCTCCACCCCATCGCTGAAGGGTGGGCAGTTTTGCCAACTCGTCAAGAGGTGTGCAGCAGGTTAGACAGTGGAGATTCATACAACTGCTAACGTATGCAAAATTAGTCATATGTGTGTTCTTACCTCTTTTTAGAGAAATCTCAACACCTATTTATTTATTAGGAAGCCATTCTAAGTACAAACGTAGGCCTATCAGTAAGGGGCAAAGGTAAGTAGGTATAAATAATTCACTAAGAAATTCATCTTTTGACCCATTCTAGCAAAAAACCAAGTGTCACTGTGTTCAAAGGAGCAAGGAAGTGACAATGGAGGTCTGTGCCAAATGGCAGTGTAGGAGACAAGTCCTCTCTCCACAGTACTTACTCTGCCTCGCCCTTCAGGGTCCTGTGTTCCTGTCTGTGCTGCTCTAACAAACATCTCTCAGTTCAGGAGGTTAACACCCTGAGTTCCAGGCTACAGCTTCAGAGGAAGGTCCTCTCTCTCAGCTGGATGTTCTCGTTCAGTTCCTGAGTTCCTTAGAGATTCCAGGTGGCATCTCTTCCCCCCATGTGTGCTTTCTGTCACATGTAAAGAGTGATTGGCTAAAAACACATCATACCCTAAAAAGACCTCATTACCAGAGCAAAGAAAACTCTATGCCCAAATGGGATTCGATCCACAGGTATAAGGGTTATGATTTACAACATATACTTTTAGAGGGCACATTAAATCCATAACAGTCACTAAAGAAAAAAATGCTCATTTTATGCATTCAAAATTATGATTACTGTAATAAAAAGTTTAAAGTCCAAAGGAAAAAAAAAGAGAATCGTGTACTATGCAACCTTTTAGAATAGACCCTTCTTCTTCTTCTTCGTCTTCGTCTTCTCCTTCCCTCGGCAATCCTTCTCTAGAGAATCATCCGCTTCTTGGGCATCTCCGTGATTTGCTCCTTTTCACTGCTGAGCAGGATTCCCTGATACGGTTGGTTTAACCATTTGCCTGTTAGAAGGCATCTGAGTTGTTTAACTGTTTAACTGGCTCCATTTTGGAGGAGCTTATGAATAAAGCAGCACTAAATATTCGTGGGCAGCAGAAATAAACGGCAGAGTGATTGTACTTTTCAGTTCCAAACTTCCTGTTTGGTTTTCTTGCTTTGCTGGGGCTAATTTTGCATTTATGACCAGCATGTTGTAATTGCTCATGAAGCATCTTTTTATGATGCTGCTTTAAGATCTTTGGCCAAGAATTCTGCCATCTCGGTGTTGGCATCGACTGGATGTCTTTTGTCATTCGGCTTGAGATCTTCCTGGACCTGTGATTGTTGTTGTTGTTCAAAGACATTTTCATAGCACAGTGTTAGATTCTGGGTTTTATTTCCAATCTTCTCTTTTAACTGGCTTTCTTTGACCCCAATCTGGTACAGGAAGGAGGGGGTATCACTTTGTAAACTCAGCCTCCTTTGATACCTGAGAGGTGGCTCTTTGTTACTGCTGGGCAGGGGTAGAAGGTCCAGTTCCCCCCTATGGTCTTCAGTGACACACAGTGCAGATGGGCAATAGGGAAAGTCTTGACTCTCCACCCAGCCCAAGGGAGGGGAGATGCAGTATGGTGGAAGGCAGGCTCTCCCTGTGGCCTTATGGCTGCTGGTGGGGTGAATTTTCTGGCTTCCTACATGGCCCCTTGTTAGAGCCCTTGACTGCAGCTCCAAGGGTGTCAAAGCGGAGGCTCCCCACTCACCTTTCGCTGATGGGGCCGAGATGGGCTGTGGCATTTGGCTGAGATATTGTTGATGGTCTACATGTTTTGTTTTTATTTTGCCAGGATGTCCCTTCCCTGATGCTTTGGCTAGACAGAGCAAGCTTTTGGTTGGGGGGCTTTTTTTCTTTTGGTCTGTGCTAATTCCTATTTCTGAGCCGCTGCCTTTCTCGGCTCCAAGTTTGGGACATTAAAACAACAACCACAACTCACTGCTATGAGTCAATGCTGACTCAGAGCGGCCCTACAGGACAGGGTAGAACTTCCAGGGGGTGGGGGGTCCCGAGACTGTAACTCTTTACAGGAATAGAAAGGCTCATGGTCACCCTCAGAACTGCTAAGCCCATGATTAGCAGGTTGATGCATCACCCACTATTGCCACCAGGGCGCCTAAGTTTGGGATATCCAAGGCCATAGAAAGCCCAGTGAACTCAACCCCATGTCTTACCTGGAGTTCCAAAGTTCGGACGGAGCTGATGTGCTTTCTCTCTGCTCTTCAGGACCTTCTTAAAGATGCCCTGCCTTTGCCACTGTCCTCAGCAGCAGGTGTAGGGAAAGTGCATCTGCTCTGTCTTCCTCCTGGTAGAACTGTGTATTTTAAATGCACCTCCAGGGTGTGTGACGGACAGTCAGGGTTGAGACACAATAGACACTGCCAGTTACTTGGTTCAAACGAGCCTGACTTTGGGATGTCATCAGAACACCCTTC